TATAGAACCAATTCTGTCCTATTTACCCAGAGCTGTAATAATAATAATAAGAGGATTAATACCTTTCCCAAGGGTATTAGCACGTAAGTGAATGTAATGGATTCAACTATGTTTCGAACTCGACTCTCCGATATATATATATATATATATATATATATATAAGAAAGTGAACATAGAAGTCAACACTTAGATGCGACAGTCTGTTTCATGCTAGATGCAATCGTCAGGCCACCCTGATCTAGCATGAAACAGCCTGTCGCTTCTAAGTATTGACTTCTATGTTCACTTTATATTTACAGACGCTCTATCTCTGATATTGAGCACTTTATCCTATAAATATAGCACATCTTAAGACTATATTTCTTCATATATATATATATATATATATATATATATATATGGAGAGCCATGATCGCCTTCATCCTGAAAGGCCAACATTTAACAGAGAATTTTAACCCAACGCTAGATGCTAGAAATAATTGCTAGGAAGATTATGTTACGTCAGATATTTTAAATGGGAAAACCATATATATTTGTTTGGCCACAATTATTTACATCCTGATGGGTGATGACTTTTAGAAGAAATTCAGCCCAAGGATAAATGGTGGTAACAGTTCTTTTGGAAGATTATGTTACGTCAGTTTTTCAAGTGGGAATGCCATGTCGACTTGCTTTTAAAATCAGTCTTCGAAATTGTGGCATTACCTCGGCTCGAACTCTAGACGGTGGTGTTAACAACATATACACCCTTGTGCAAATTAATTGAAACAAAAGAAATAATTCCGTTATTATTTACTCTTTTGTTCGTATTTTTTCCAATGAAACATGACACAGGGCACCTGTTAGTACTTCGTACATCCATTCCACGAAGTCGTTCCTTGCAGTTTGACCACAGATTTATTATTTTAGTTGTAATTTCAATCTAATAGATTAAATTTAATACTTCCAATAAGTATTGCTGTATTTCAAAACGAATTTAAATTATATTGGAATGAGTTTTTTAATCGTTAAAAATCACTGAATTTAGACATATTTAGAATTCTCTAAGCACAACATAATTCTCTTTATTAAAAAACATTCAAAAATAAAATATATTTTTCTGAAACTTTATTTGAGAAACATGAGCTGATTTAAAGTTTAATCAATCGGATTTGAAAGAAATATTACTTATCTTTATTTCAAAAAGTCGCAGAAAAGCATTTTTAACATGTGATGGATGAAAGATGTATTTACAGTTTGATGTTAGGGAGATTTAACTATTTTTGTACTGGGGACATATCTGTAAAAATTACTTGACGAATATAACGTACGCGTTCTTTTTTCTGTAATTTTTTAAAATTACCCTGTAATCTTTAGAGTTCAGGAAATATTCTAATTGGTCTAGTGATTTATTAAATTTTAGGTACTTTGAATTTTACACTTATTAAAATTACAGTCTTTATTCTCTGATAATGTCGTTTATGGACATCCGTATTTACAAAAATCAGCACATTTATACATACAAAAAAAAAAAAAAATTTCTTTTAAAAATATTGAGGAGAGGTCGCTGAATTATAGTAAGTTTTTTCATTTATGATTAGTAAATAGTCTACATAAAAACAATATCACTTAACAGGTACAAATTAATACAGAATTTTTAAATATTACTATATTATATATCCTTCCTTTCTTAGTTACATCCTTGCGCAAAATAATTGAAACAAAACGAATAATTCTATTATTATTTACTTCTTTTTTCGTATTTTCCCAATGAAACATGATTCATTGTACATGTTAGTACTTCGTATGTCCATTCCACGATGTCGTTCCTTGTAGATTGGCCACAGATTGGACTTAGAGCAGCAGAGTTTACGGGCCGATCTATGGTACTTTGATTTGCTCACTCAGTGTGTACGTGCAGCGTTACAATTTTCGAACGCTTCCTTGAAGTAACGGTCATCGCAGACAATGGCCGTAGGACAAATAATCGACAGTCGAGAAAATAGTGTTTGTGCGTGATTAAAATCTGATGCAATTACGGATGACGCAATATTTTTCAAGGCCAGACAAGTTTTATCGGACACCTCGAAAATAGATTCATATTACTGCACACTACTGCAAATGACTTATACGTACAAAAAAAAAAAATTTTAATTTTTTTAAAAATACCGAGGAGAGGTCGCTGAAGTTTTTTTCATTTATGATTAGTAAATAGTCGACATAAAAACAATATCACCTAACAGATACAAATAAATACAGAAATTTAAAATATTACCATATAATTCTGCTTGTTCTTTTAATTTCTTAGTTTACTTTTTTTTCGTATTTTTCCAATGAAACATGATTCATTGTACATGCTAGTGCTTCGTATCTCCATTCCACGAAGTCGTTCCTTGAAGATTAACCATAGATTCTCGATTGGATTTAAATCAGAAGAGTTTCCTGGCCAATCTATAGTACTTTGATTTGCTCACTGGTAAGTGGCAGTGTGTTTGCACAGCGTTACAATATTCGTATGCTTCCTTGGAGTAACGTCCATCGCAGACAATGGCCATAGGAAAACTAATCGACAGTCGAGACAATAATGTCTGGGCGTGATAAAAATCTGATGCAATCACGGATGACGCAGTATTTTTCAAAACCGAACAAATTTTATAATACACCCCGAAAATAGATTCATATTATTGCACAACACTGCAAATGATCTAATCTGAGGAAAAAATACAGATCGTTTACACCCTGTCACTCCAGTGGGTCAAAAACCGACCGTATGTACCTAATTCCGCCAAGAATAATTAATAGATTAAATTAAATAACACGGTTCAATTCTAAACTGGGTGAAAATCTTTGAAACACTGTGTTGCGCCAATCCTCTAATTGAGGAGTATCTATTTGCTTTGAAAATCAGCTTTCGCAATTCTGGCTCGTTACCTGGGCCCGAACTCTGACAGCTGAGTAAAAAATCACGGAACTCGTTGTAAAACGGATAAGGTCAACAGCGTGAATTTTATAACTATGACCCCACGAACGCCTTCAGTATTGATATTTGATGCAAAGTTCAGCTTTAATGAACCTTCCAAATATTGACACTTGATCGTTTCTTGACGCGATCATATCTCAGATTTTGACTTCCCCTACGAATTATGATCGATATAGTTCGCCTACATTGCTTCAAAGATTGAAGCTTGCACCTCCCGGCCCAGTGTCCAGTAATCTACAGCCGAGCAATCATTTAAGATATATGGACACGATGAATACGGACACCTACAAATATTACTGCCATGAATTATTGAAAAAACAAAAACGAAACAAAAAAAAAAAAGAAAAAAAAGATTGAATAATAGACATTGTCCGTGCTTATTCGACCTGGAAGTTATTTTCCTGAAGTGAATCTTAAACTTTCCCGCCTCCAAATGCGTTTCATCAAAGGCCAGACGTCTTACAATTTTCTCTTTATATTTTCCCTATGACCTTTACGCGGGCGATCATAATATAAGACGATGTTAAGTTGGCAATATCTAATTTGCAGTAAAACCTTTTTGTTTTATTTTAAATTAGTTTGGTTTGGTTT